TCGAATATGCAATTCAAGTCTGGCATCCATAGCTGCAACACGACCTTAATGCACTGGAGCAGTCACAACGCCGGGCATCTAAGAACGTAATTGGAATGCTCAATCTCTCCTACCAGGAGGGGCTGCGACGACTGGGATTTTTCAGTGAAAGCTATCACAGACTACGAGGCGACCTGATTATGGCATACTCGATTCTGCGAGACCCACATCATGTGTGCCGCCCTTTACTGCAACTCAGCAGCAATACAACCCTGAGGGGCCACTCATTATAACTCGCAGAACAATACAGTCGTCTGGAGTGCCGCAGAAATTTCTTTTCCATCCGTGTCTGTCACCTGTGGAATGCTCTCCCAGAATCGGTCGTCTCTGCACCGACACTAACAGCATTTAAAAGACGGTTGGACGATGCACTCATCCACTTACACTTTGTTACTTAACGCTACGTCTTCATTCTACACCTGGATTATACCATGGAATTATTTGTTGTTAACTGTGGGCGCTGTGAATCTAAGAGGATCGCAGGACTGCAGCGAAGCAAACGATAAGTCCTTATTTTCAAATTTAAAGTATTAACTATTTTACTATCATTATTATCATTATTGTTAGGTTGATGTCCCCACCAACTATCCAACGGGACTTGTAAAGCAACGCTTTTTAACCCGTATAAATTCATTGTTCATTGTTCAATGTGACCGGCTATAGGGTCACTGACCACACTCCTGTAACTGGGGTGAGTATCTAACGGAGGGCGGATGAACAACCTCGCATGCCACCGGCTTCTCTGTGGATTGCTTCCGAACACAAAGAAAGCGAATGAGTCACTTGGCTGTCAACGGTCTTTGTGAATCACCTCGTTGTCTTGCGGGTCAGGTCTTTAGACCAACGGCTCTGGGTGGGGTCCTTTAAGTCAAGCCTCTTCCTCGGCCTGGGCAACCGGGAATATCAATGCCCACCCAACACATGGAACTTTACTTCCATTCCTCCTACTCACTCTCTCTGTTTTGTTATTGTTACGCATGTGTAGTGGCGCTCTGCCAAATATTTGTTGGGCAAGTGTTAACTTCATACAATACAAATGAAAGAAGCAACCGTGAGTTGATACGTACGAACTCATTCTATAGATGTGGCAAATTGAGAGCTAGTCCTAACTTCCTCCGCACCATTTCAACCGGAATCGCCCGACTGCGATTGCTTCCGACGTGACCGGTAGGTGTTCCGTGGATTTACTTTGGTTGCTGCTTTAGCGTAACACATAATGCTCTATCTTACTAGATCGAGTGCGGTGCCTACTGATAAGCTCTAGCTTAGAATGGTGGTTTGGTCTTCATAACTGTGCTGCTGTCCAGTCAGATGAGGAAAGGCTACTGTAGTAGTTTTATCGGAACTCTAGTCATGCGTTCAAACTGGCGCTCTAACTTTGAGACAACGAGTAATGGGTTAGCCGTTATTTTAAGGAGATGTATGACCCGGTACGTTTGATTTGCTATGAGTAACCAGAATAGCTCGACTTCTAAAGTTGCAATACAAACTGCTCAGCCTAATTACATTGACATGGATACTAGTGACAAACTTCCATGTATGTTTACTTTTGAGACACTTCTCCAGCATTTGAGTTCCACGACACATGTGCTAAAAGTTGTCCGGCTGTATATTATCGAGAAGCGTCCGTACTCGTTGTCATCTCATGGAGCATAGGGTATCCAGGTGACCGTGGTATTCGTTTTTAGTCATAAACTCGAGTGGAATAATTTCATCAGTCCTCAGATTCCGGAGTCTTCTATAATCTGTTAGCTCTGTGGATTTCGTTGTACGTTGCCAGCTGAACCTGGGTCCGTTGTTGGTGCATGTCCACACAAGCATAATGGCCCGACTAGACCTGAGGGATTACCGTGTGAGAGCAGTAACATTGTCCTTGAAGCAGCGATCGGTCGCGCAAAGAGGTACGTTACATGCGTGTTACACTGAAGAATGTACTTAATAACACAACATCCGTACAGTGAAGACATACTCTGGCCTAGTGACCAAGACAAAACCCGTCAACCAATGTGTTGGGCTCCCCTCTCAGCTCAAGCTAGCTCTGTCTGACAAGTCCAAATCTAAACGAAACCGGTCGGCCGTAGAGTGCAGTGTTTGGAGAAAGCAGCTCTGAGGACACACACTCTCATTATAGTCCTATCCAGAGCGATGAACATGCATTGACCTTCACACATCCACGAATAATAGTGTAATATTTGTTTCTCTGGTGCATCCTACCAAATAACCATAAGTAAACAGGTATAACCCTGCTGATAATGGAAAATGAACTTGAGGAAAATCCAATGTAGCGCCTAAACGAATTTTACACATAAAGATAAAAGCAGCACAGCAACGTATGATTGCAACCAACCGGGAGATAAGCCGGCACAGGCTGGAACACCCAGCTTTTATATAACCCCCGAGAATCAAGGCAAAGGCTGAGTGGCGATTATTCACGGACTATAAAGGCATGTATGTTACACAAAAATTTGAACTACTATTTCATTGTGACAACGTCTAACTAGTTACGCCTATTGGTTGTCGCGTACTGTTCTTTCGATGTGATCGATTCAACCCAGGTCCACCCTGTTTGGAGCCATAGTGAGGTTTGCTTTATGCTGAGCCGCGTCACTTCTGCGGTAGCCACTTGGACCGTATACTCCTGGTCGGTTGTGCTGTACCGCATTGCCTTGCTTTCTGTCCACTCATCTCGCTCCGGAACCCCACATCGTCAACTAGTGTGCGTGTGCTGATCGGACCAAGCCGCTTTGTCCTTCCCTGCAACCTCAGTGGTCTTCACTCGTGTAAGCCGAATGGATTCTGTCGAACTCCTCTGACTGTACGCTTGTGGGCAGCTCGCGTGGGCGCTGTTCCATTAACTTTCCACCCACAGGTTCCGCAGCGATCTTGCCCACGCGATTCGCCAGCTACCGTCACGCCAACGGCTCATGGAATCGTCGTATTCAACCTTTTATGTTGCCAGCGACATACGTTTCGGACCGGTTTATCGCCGTGAGTGCGAACAGCCACTAGACAACTACGCCCACGCAGGGACCATGGTTTATCTTGCACAGCACTACCCACAGCTTCATCCATATACTGCGTATTCAGCCGCTGGCTTGCCATGTGAGTGGTTCGGATTTACATCATTCAAACGAAGCGTTTGGCGACAGTGTTCCGGGATATGGACGGTTTCGCCTGATAAGCGTTCTCCCTGTAAGAAACCACAAATGTCTGTTTTACAGCACTGCGACCTGGTGGATTTGGCTCGCCACTGAATAACGTCACTGTCTCTTGCTCACCTAGATGGAGAATTGTAGTCCAGCAAGTGTGTGTTGACATCATGGGGGAGGATTAGACCCCTGTTTGTTGTTTCGCAAATAAAGTACGTACGACCTGAGCATTCAGTCACCGACTCCCAGTGGGGACGATCCACTGAATTCACTCCGATGCCTTGCGGATGGGCTATCTAACCAAACGCTAGGGGTGATGTCCTTAAGATAGCTTGGGTTTTGGCAACCGAGTAGTATCACGCCCATTTACAAAACTATGGATCGGTATTCTGTCATACAGCGCTTAACTGCATTTGCTGCCGCCACCCATTCATTTGTTACCAGTCACTGTTATCTGTTACCAGCCGATTCCCCTGTTTCTATGCTTCTACTCTCAACGATTTAGTTGACCACCGCAGCTGTTTCGGTAGACCTCCTCCGACCTCAATCCTCGTTCCGTCTGCCATGCTTCAATATACCTACACTGATGCAGATCGGGTAGCAGGCTGGTCTCGCGCGCACTGATGTTTGCTGTCTTTCCAAAAATCGACTGTATATTCCTGTACCTTGATGGAGTTGAGATCTCCCAACGAACCCGGAGTCTTAGTTCCTTCACGTCCACCTGGTGTCAGAAACACCCGCGACAGGCTTGGCTGGCGTTGGTGTAGCACTAAGCAGCCGAGCCCAGGCCGCATTACTGGACTGGTTCCCGATTAATAGCCGACTGTGTGCAGTTCGGCTTCGGTGATCATGCATGATCACCAGACGTCGTGAGCAGAGAGGCAACTTGTTTGTGGTCTCCGTGTACGCTCCAACTGATCGCAGTTATGACTCGGTCAAGGACGATTTCCTAGTGAACTACACTAGCTCTTGAGCAGAACTTGCAAATCTGATATTGTTGTCCTTGCTGGGGATCTCAGCGCAAAGCTCGGCTGTCTATTATTATGTGAGAGTCACCATGTGCTCGATGACAGAACCTCTATTTGACATGCTTTTTCTTGAACGATCTTAGTCACAACTTTTCATTCTTCCTACCGTCTACCTTATGACAGTTGTTTAAACGCTCCACTTCTTTTCTCTGATTGGGAAACGCACGTCGTTAATAATGGACACTCAACTTACGTGTCAGTTTCAGAAGCATCATTTCCAAGAACAAATGTGACTGGTTTTTATTCCCATAAATTTTTATTTGGTTATGCTGAGGATGTTTAGGTGACATACATTTTTGTAGTAGCTCCTAATATCCGGGTTTGTATTTCTTCCTATCACATGTTCCATGACTCTTGTTTAAACAGGCCATTTCGTTCTTCCGATATGCCAGCACCCGTGGTTGTGAATGGATATTCATTTTGCGGATTGGATCCCATAATCTCACTTCCAAGGACATATGCAATTCGGTCTTCATTCCATAGCTGCTCATTCGCTTGTTGCAGTTAGCGTTTTCCATCTGTTTGGTTGGCTCGAATGTATTTTAGTAGTTGCCCTTCAAAACCCTTTCAAAACTACATAAGCAAGAGTGATTTAATGCATATAATTCTTTTCTGGCTCCTCTTTGGACTTTTTCTTGCAGTTGTGGGGCCCGAACAATCCGCGGCAACATAACAAACTCACTGATTATCTCTGCAAAGTATTGTGCTGTGCGCGTTACCTGTATTTCTGCCTGGTTTTACAACCCTCTTGCAACACTTTGTTTTGCTGCACTAACCTTTGCAGACGTCAAAAGGAGATGATGGATGCCGACCTTCGGGAGCAGAATCAGGCCAAGTTGAAGAACAGAAAGTATGCTGAAGAGGTCCGCAAACAAATCTGTCTTAAAGAACAGGAGCGAATAGCGGAGCGGAATGCATTCTTCGAGGAAGGAGTCAAGCTCGCAGAAGAGGCGCGGTTGCGTCAAATGCGTCTGATGGATGCCAAGAACCGAAAACTTAAAGAACTCAGGTACTGTGTTTCGCTGTCCGCAGGTATTTCCAATCCGGGAGTTGCATGATTATGTTAGACAAAATTGCCAACAGTCGAATTGCGAGAAGCGATACTCAACTCATGGCCTTGACGCAGGTGATCTACACAAGAGTAGCTGAAACTAAACGGACTCGCCAGTAGCTGGAGGTGCTGGTATTACACCAGTGCCAAAGAAAGATTCAAACAAAAAGCGACCTTTTGTTTGCACTTCAGTAGCTTTGTAGGTCTTCTTGAAAAGTATTTTTGAAGTGATGTCGGCTCAAACTCGTTCATATGACCCTGCTCAATTTGATTGCCATAGTTCTAGGTCCACGCAAGATACGTTGAGCTCCTACCTACATTCGGTGCTGTCCTCAGTAGACAATGGAAGCGAACCCATGCGAAGGTTTTTTTGGTTGCAGCAAGGCTTTCGGCCGGATACTCCGTGAGCTGCTTTTGAGAGCCCCATTCGAAGTAGGAATTCTACCTTCTATCGTCTGCCAGCTAACCGACCGTTCCACCAAACGCACCCAGCTTACCCGACTCGAATGTAATAGTTCCATGCCGCCGCCACAACCGGCTTTCTTCAAGGCCATAGTATAACCATACAGCTTTGTAACTTATGTCAGCACATTACCTCACCCTGACGCAGCGATATTGCTGAAATAGGCGTAAAACTTGGTCTTGGGTACCTAGCATCCGACTATAGCCACATCTGCCATGTAACAAACCTCTTTTGAACCCCTACCTTATAGTCCAAGGGTCATGATTTATCGCTTAATGTATTAAACGGTATTTGGGTTTTTTTCCTGCTACACACAGGAAGCTGTTATCGGCAAATCCTCATGGATTGACCTGTATCTCACACATAGGACGAGGGGCTTCACTCATGCACCTCAAGAAACTATCTAGACATTATGCTCATCCACGATCTATTCTAATCACTTCATGTGAAGGAGATAATCACAAAAACCAGGAGCCTTTATTCATGTGCTACTTGTCGGCGTTCCTGCTATGTTCTTCGCTAGTTACTACCGTGATCTATCACCGCTCTTCTGTTACGCTATCAGAGCAATTGCTCTCCTGTGACATTTCCTCATTTAGTGGGCAATACAGAGTACTAGATGGCCCAATGAAGCAGTTGTCTAGATGTAGCGGCATTCCAAAGTAGATATTAGTTGGCGTTATGGTATCAACTCCTATCAGAGGCTTGCTTCGAGAATACCCATCGTTACAAGTCACTCTCTTCATGGTGCATTGCCCGACAACATAGCAACTTCATCGACAATTTACGCTCGCACACACCTGCTTGCTACTCGTCTGTCGCCCCACCCTTAAGCGCTTTGTGTGCGACCAGAATTCAACGGGTTAGGAGTTTACGAGCAAGTTTATATTGTGTTTATAGGGCTGTCTGTGCCACTTATCAACCACGTTTTGTGATCGCCAGTATTAAGCTGTACTTTCTGCAACGCTAAAGTTGCTTTGTTACTGTGCGCGATCTCTGGAACGAAGGCGCAAATTGCCACTCGCAATCAACTCTCGCTTGCAGCTCTACACCATCCGAATAGCTCATCTTAACTTCCAATTGTGCTTCATTCAAGGGGGAGGCAGAGCCACAACTTGTGTCGCAGAGAATTGCAGATGGCCACCATTTGACTGTTCGCAACTCATTCTACTTGAGCACTGGGTTGGTGCTAACTTCAGTGGCACAAAGTGCGCTCGATTGAAGTGGCCAAGAGGACTCCAGCCGAAATTGCCTAATGTTGGACACACCAGGGATAGTCTTTCAGTCACACGACTCCGATGATTGGTGCATACAGTTCGGTGACCCCTGAATGAACTCCTCAGCTATTGGTTGCAGCGTTCAAAGAGCGGAGAATGCTTCTAAGTTTTAGTGCATCGTAGCAGCATCGTTAATTGAGAAAACGACGCACTAGCATCATCAGTCTTATTCCTAGGTCAAAACGGTGCTAGTAGAAGATGCAATGCTGGAGTGTATGGCAAAAACCTGTTTCACTGTTTTACTCAGATAATATGCGCTCTGTACCTTAAATGTTGACCCTTTCATAACATAACGAATTCGAGATGGTCAACGATGGGCCACTGCCATCACAATCCGAGTTTGATGTATCCGATAGCAACTCTCGGTTCATGCATTTTATAGGTGGTTACTCGATTGAGGTTGCTACCGTTTGCTCATTTCGATTGCAAGCCGTGGTGATCATTGTGTGTCCCAGTGATTATTGTGACCACTCTGATGACAGTATCGTTACCGGGGCTGCTCGACGTGAAAGCAGGTCGTTTGAACTTATATGTTGATGATAAAGGCACTTCGTTTCTTTACGGTCTCTAGGGTCTGTTTCCCGATCAGGAAAGCAGAGCTATTTCAAGCATACTTGGCCATTGATTCAATGATGTACAGAGGCAAAGTGAATTACATTATTAAAACAGAATTAATGAAGTCATGTCTTTCGATAATTTTGTCGTCTTGACTTTTCCACCCACAGGGAGGCGGGTATTCCGGAGAAATACCTTCACCAAGTGGAAAGAAAAGCCCTTCATTTAAAAGAGACTGAGAGTCATTGACCTATTCCAAATTGGTCGTGTTCTCTTCGACCCCACTTCCCTGACTACAGTCAGCACAAACCCAATCATCTCTTTCGACCTTTCCTTCAGCAATGAAACTTGTGAGATTTCTGATGGCTACCCAATCTTTGAGATGTACTAGATTCCGGCTCACCTGGCTTCTGTTAATGCCGGGTCATAAGGTGCAGCTTAGCGGCTGCTCTACAACTCTTTCCGACTACATCAACTGTGAGGTTCTCTTTGAACACATAATTACTGCGAGTTTGTCTCCTTTCGTACTCTGAGAACCACAAACAGCGAAGCACACCAGTCCGAAGGAATCAAATTCCGTGTTGATAGTAGAGCCTGAGGATCTAACAGCCAAACCTCTAATCGGTGGTCACAATAGCTCTAGCCTGAGTCATATTCACAAGGCTACTTATTCTAAGGGATGTGTATTTTCAGGAAATCAGGAAACAATAAAATAACAAAACCATACAATCATCAACATAACGATCAAAAATAAATGTATGAAAAGTAATCAAGTTTATGTTGCAGAACCATTCCGTGTATACGTCTAGATGGTGCATTGGTGGTTACACGTCTGTTGGTTCCAAATTCAAACATGCTGCACTATAAATCGCAAGTGTAAAACTGGATTCCCCCCAGATACATCGGACTCTTTCCCATGTAAACCTTGGACGACTTGAATCCATGAGTTTGTGTCGAGCTACATGTGATGAAATAAATAAATAAGAAGTACTCTTCTCGATCTTGCTGGATAAGTTCCCACCTTGGGCTCAGTAGTTTAGACCGATCACACAACTGTCCTGTATTTATACGGGAATAAAAGCAACATCACAACATAACATCGAATTCCTGTGAAACAGCATAGGACAATTTGCTGATTTTTTTGTACTAACTACTGTGGGTTGCATGCCGATTTGCTTTGGAGCAAAGAATACCATTTTTGCTTTAAAGTGGACATTTTGTAAAGCACTCTGAAAGTTTTGTGAAAACGTATTGGACGTTTTGCTTTGCGTACTAGGCACATAGCATACCAAGTAGAAAATCAGCAATTTACTAGCAAGAAATGAGGAGTGAGGCGACTAGACGATGTTCAGACCACCCTGTAATCATGCTAGTACAACCGATCTGTGCAAGCAGTAGGTGCCACTGCAAATTCTTCCCTTGCTCGTGAACCTCGATCATTCCCCCTCTCTCCCCATCGGCCTTCGCGCAGTTTATGTGCTTGTGCCTTTACGCGGGAACCTGTGTTGCTGTGTGACTATTGGAAAGTCAGACTCACGAATCGCGTAGTCCATTATGCCTCAAACATATGTTACCTAGCTTTGGATGGTCATTGTGAAACACTCGTTTTGTGAATGTGTTGTGATGCGTAATAATGTGGACCGCGATTCTCATTGATCACTGGGACCGTAACTGATGAGGCAGATAAACTGTGACCCAATCGTCCCCTGTCACTCTACGGACCTTCGCGTATTTTGTGTGGGTGTATAGGCGGACCTATGCAGCACGATTATTAGAACATAGTAGGCTATTATGACTCCACCAAACACAGTCCAGATTTATTGGCCTACGACTGCGTTTTGTTATCAAAAATAGTGTAAGGCGAGTGAATGATGTTCCGGCTACATTGTGCTTATGCGAATACATCGTCACTGCGCAAGCAGTGGGCGACTGCGCAGGCCCTTGTGTTGATAATGGGTTTCCTTCACCTCTATCGAAGCCTTCGCGTATTTTCTGTGAGTGTGTGGGAGAACCTATACAGCTGCACGCCCATTGGAACAGTGTAGGTCATTATGATTCCACCAAACCCGACATAGCTTTATTAGCCTTGTGCTGTAAGAAAAGAGCAAAAAGAGTGACGAGAACTCATCTCCGAGGCTACAGTTACAAATAAAGGTCATCGGTACAGAAAGTGATCCTCACTAAGCTTGTATGCGTCAACAACGAAACCACCCACGAAGCCAATGGACTTGCCGATGTCAACGAGAGCACAACAGGAGACACCATCATCGTCTACAGAAGACATGAACACTCAGCGCAAACGTGGAGGAAACAACAAGGAGAAACTGACGCCAAATATGCTGCAGCGTATTGAAGATAGCGCTGAACAGCATTCCGAGGCCACTTTGGTGCAGATACAGCAGCGGCTGAGCAAGAACGGGATAAACCTATCCCTATCTACTGTCTCCAAATCTCTCAGAGGCTGGAGATGACGTCGACTTCGGTGGAATCATAATAACCTATACTGTCCCAACGGTCGTGCAGCTGCATAGGTTCGATACACACCCACTTAAAATACGCGGTGGCCCATAGAGTGACAGGGGAAACTGGGTCACCGGCTTTGATGGGGATGAATTATGTACATAATCCAAAGAAGGGCTTGCACAGTCGTCCATTGTTTGCGCAGTAACTATGTATTCTCATAAGCACAATGCAGCCGGAACATCATCCGGTCGCCTTACACCATTTTGGATAAAGCATTGCAGTTGCAGGCCAATATCATCCTGCACGATCACCCCGAGATCGCTTCCCTGGGAGACTGGTTGCAATTGCTGGTCCCCAAATCAATATTCATGAGTGCTCTAATGGAATCTGCTCACAACTTTGCATTTCGCCACGCTGAACTGGAGCTGGTTTTAAGAGCGCCAGCAAAGGCCATATCGTGATCACTCTGCAAGTTCAACTGGAGTATACTATCATTCTCAATGATGAAGATCAGGAACAAACTTGGCCCAAGTACCGATCCTTGGGACACACCAAACTGGACATCATTTGGATGGGAAATGGAGCTGCGGTGTCTCACATTCAGCTCACGTTGACTGAGGAAGTTGCTTACCCAGCCCAGCATCGGATCACCGATTCCATATCTTCGAACCTTGCGTAGGAGAATGTGGTGATCCAAGCAGCCGAGCGCTTCGGAGAAATCCAGTCAGACGATGTCGACTCTTACTCTCGCATCGACTGATTCTGTACAACTTTCTCGGGCTAGAAGCGAGCTTGTAGTGCAGGACCGATTTCGGCGGAATCTGTGCTGCTGTGAAACTATGATGCTGTTGCCCTCAAGGTATTGCATGACCGCCTCTGCGATAATATATTCCGTTACTTCGATAACACCGGGAGGAGAGTGATTGGACGGTAGTTCGAGGGCTCCGCACGATTCCCAAGCTTGTATACAAGAGTGACTATTCCATGTTTCCACATGGTCTGAACGTACATTTCATCAAGAAATCGCTGAAAGAACCGAGCTAATTTTTCGGCAATTTTCATGGCGGCTGTCTTTAATTCCTTCGGTCTGATGTCGGACCATCTGTTGTAGGTAAAATTGAGATCTTGCACTGAACTTTGCGAAGCCTGTTGACAAGTCTGTACATCATTTTAGGATTAGTGCTTCCTTTCATCTCCAATTCTTGTTGGTAGTGGAGTTTGTCTTCATGGACCTTCTTCGCGTACTGGTGTCGTTATGTTTTGTAGGCACCCCAGGCCTACACTCTCGGACAGGCTTTATACGAATAGGTCAGGTTGAATCACTTAAGGCCAAGTATTTTCGAGTCCGGTTCCTCAGGAAAAACTTCTCTTTTTTCGGGGCTAACTATTCTGGTTTCCGACGCTAATCCGGTGTGTTGACTGATAAACTCACTCAACGCGAGATCGGGTGGCTGCTCGGCTAAGAAGAACCAGTTGGTTTCTTGAACGAGGTTGGACTGGAGGTCGTAATGGGTGACCACGTGGGTTTCCTCGTTGTTTCCACAGGCCACTGGAAGTGATACGTGCTTGAACTGTAAAGTGGACAGGGAACGGGTCACACAAAATCCAGACAGTGGAAACAGGAACACTGATGGTTTCATTGGCGAACAGGGTCCAGACAGCTTGGCACGCGAACAAATTTGGGCAAACGCGAAATGCCGGTTACATCCGTCGCATTCTAAAACACACAGAGAACCCGCCAACTTCCCCTCTACAAACACTCGAGGTCAGTGACTTTTTGCCCTTACCCTGTGTCTGGGCCTGGACAAAGCGTGGCAGACTTTGACCACTTAGGCCATTCACTAAACAAGTAACTATCTAACTATCAATTTGCTTTCACATATGCGATTTAGCTGCTTCCTCCGGATTCGATACTACAATTGGTAAATCGTCATGCGTTGCATGTCGATTAACCCAATGACACATCTCAACAGCCTACAGCCGATGTGTTTCTGTCTGACCAGCACAATCTCGATGCTTCTCCCGTAGCGAAGCGTCGGTTGTCATTTTGGCAACGCGGTGGCTGAACAGTAACACGGATCGCGTTCATTTTAACAATCAACATTCATTGGCAGAAAGAATGTCATAGCATATAGCTCGAGAATGTTAATGAAGAGTTCGCGAGGACAGAAATGTGACTATCGCCAGTCACATACACTACGAAACGCCATTCTGTTTTTGACTACTTATGAGTAGGTAAAATAAAACAATATCTTTAAAGATACCAAAGTGCCAGTGACAATTGGTATAGAGTACGCAGCTACAGTTGCGCATCGGGTTGTGGCCCCTACTCTACCCAACGAAGCACATTCGGCGTTTAAGTTTCCATGATCCCTCCCTTTACCGGCGGTGCGATAAACCGCGTCTGTCTAACAGATCAGGTCTGAGTGGAGGCGTCACCCACTGCAGGCGACAGACTGACCATTGCTTTTCTAGTCATGATCACACATTCTATGGGATGGTGAAAATTCAACGTTACTTCATCAATTTATGAGGTAAACTGCACTACAAACAGGGCTTTCACCCGTCACAACCCAGCACAACCGACTACGCAAGGGGTAATGGAACCATCAAAGGCATTTGAGAATACTAAAAGCTGACCACACTCTTCACAATTCATGTCCCCACCACTCTGTTTCTAACTGATTAGTTGTTTCAAAGCCGAAGCCAGTTATAGAGTAAGGTTCAGAACAAACAGCATCGTAGTACACAATGAAGCACTTAGTCTTTCGCCCTCATCGACCCTTGTCACACACCATATGTCTGTCTGACAAGCACAGACAACAAATCGTCCTTCTCAACCTGATTGCCCGTGTGACTACTGACAGGCGCGCCACCGATTTGTCGAACATTTCCGAGCCTCGGTCCCCTGTTTGTTGTTGAATTCTTTAGTTGCTTTGGTACGATTCAGAGAAATGCCCACGCGGCTCAGTGATCGGGAGTTGCGGACCTGCGTTTACGCTATGGTGGGACCAGTGGTCAGGATTGGCATTAACCCGACAGTACTTAGTCTTGCAAGGATACATCAGGTTTGATCCTTCCCCTGGTTGTGGGTCACGAATCCTTGAAGCGACTGCGAACCCTACAGTGCATTTCTTGTGCGAGGCAGCTACAGTGCACGAACGTCTGTGTACGGCATGATAGCACCGCAATGTATCGGTATTGCTGGTAGGCCATGAGAGCACATAACCAAACGTACTGCAGTGTGAAAATCAGCCAAACATAATTTGATTGATTCCATTGGACGGTAGGAAATCAGAGATAGTCATTCTGGGATCCATGCTTGACCAGTGGATTTAATCATATTCGGAGGACATTTTTGTTCGTCGCAATCAGCCGACAATTCAGATATGTCGACCAGCTGTCCGGAAAAGCACCAGACGGCTGTTTCGCCCTATTGGGGCTCATCAGTGGTGCGCATCCTTCGGTCCTCTGCGGAGGATCGAACCCATGACTGCTAGTGGCTCTTGCCAACTAGCCCGCAGCTTATGCAACTGCGCCATGGAGGACGGTATCTGA